GCAGCCCCTTCATTATTATTTACCGTGGCGTTCACCCCGAGGTACTCGTCCCTCCATGTGTTACCAGAGAAGTTGCCGGACAAAAAGCCAACCAGCCCATCCGTGATCTTATCACCGCTGCAGTCATTTTCAGTTGGACGATCCTTCTCAGCACTTGAGGGGCACAGCTGGGAAACGCTTTGGTCCACTTTATTCCAGGTCGCCACCACCTCCTTCATCCGCTTCAGCTGCTCACTCAGACGCACAGAGACCATACCAGGTGATGGTTTGCCCTCATCGCCCTTCTTCTCGTATAGTGCAATCAACTCCTCATTATTATTGGTTTCACCACTTTTACCACTTTTGTACAACAGGGAGCTGGCGGCAGCATCGTCCCCTTCCCCGGGTACCGGCCCAATATCAACAATGCGCGTATTGTCCGTCAGCCAAAGATGGAGCTCACCCTTTTGAGCGCCTCCCTTCTCAAGCTTCTCGGAACACACCGGCAGAGTAACAAGCATCATGTCCCTGTTCTCAATCGTCGCTGTGATGAACCCGCTTCTAACGCCCTTCTCATGTAGCTTACGGTTGTTGCCCCACACGCGCGAGAGTGTCCCGAGTGCCTCCGTCCACGGCTTCCCCTTGTCACCGATCTCGTACACCCTGCGGCGGCCATCAGCACACGCAGTCATCATCATGAGTTTTTTGTCCTTCCACCCCACGACGGAGGGATCACTGCAGCCACCGTCAGACATCCCCTTCGACAGCGTCCAATTTGCAGCATCCGAGGAGTATATGAGCAGCGAAACATTGTTATTCCTTCCACCCTCCGCAGTGCCATTAACCTTATTCTCCTTCACGGCCTCCATTGCGAACACAAGCGTACCGTCCTCCATCTTAACACCCGATCCACCACCGCCAATGTGTCCTGTCAAAGTGTCATCGTTTTCACCGATAACATTGCACAAAATACTGATAGTATCAGTCCAATAAATTCTTTTGGTACTTTCATCCACACCACTGACGTTCCCTTTCACCAGCAAAAGTCCCCACTGAGCCACGCCAGCCGCACCCACCTGACAATTAGAGAGACCTTTACTCATGTAGACTCCAGCAAGCATGTAAATATCATTTCCCTTCACAACTGTTGTTGGACGGCTCACATGTACTCTCGTCCCGCCTTGGGAATCATCCTTATCCTCTGTTTTGGAGGCGCAATTCCATCCATCGGTTGGACATTCCTCCAGCACCTCCTTCTTCACCTCAGCTGCTTCCAGGGCTTTTGGGTTTTTGTCGTCCAACTTCATGAATTGTGAAGCAATGCAAGGAAAAATGACGCTATCCTTCTCGCACCACGTCTCGGCAACGGCAAACACTTCACCATTCATCTCAACAAGACTGGGAGCATGGAGAGGACTCACTTTTTTCTCTCCATCTTTCACATCTCTCCAAACGAAACATTTCCCCGATGAAGAGCCCTGACGTCACTCTGATCCTTCAGCAGCCACAGCCCCAACACTGTTGCAGCACAACATCGCAAGAAGAAGGAAAAGGGGCACCGCAGAGTAGAAGAGATGCCGGGACATGTTGGACATCCGCCGCTCACTCTCTCTTCCTTCCCCCCTCCTTCCGCTGGATCCGGTCACGCGGCGACGGCTGTGTGTGCGGGGTGCCATGACTGCAGCTACACGTGAGAGCATATAAATATGTGTGTGTGGGCGGTGTGTGTGCTGTTGGTCCTTTCAGAACCTTCGAATCCCACAGTGGCGATTAGCGCTTGGTATTAACTTCTTTCCTTTGTGTGTGAGTGGTTTAGAAAAAAGAGGAAAAAGAAGTGAAAAACACCGTCACCCATCCACAGTGAGCGGCATCATCATCCGCACCGCATTCACTCCCAACAACAACGACAACTCGCGCGCACAGACACACGAAACGAGAAGGAAGAACAGTGCAAAGAGAACACACAACGACTGTTGCCACCAGCAGGAGCCACGGCTGGCGCTTCTGCCACGCGTCAGCACTCTCCGAGCTACGCCGCCACACAAAACAATCAGCGAGATGCAGAAGGGTACACAACTGCCCTTCGCAACACCAACGCGCCATCGCCAGTCGTTTTACTGTTGTCTCTTCCCACACCCTCCATCGCACATCGCCCCGCACAGCCGGAGAATCCTCCGTCGCTGTACGAACAGCGGGAGGAACACGTCGGCACGTGCAGCTGCCAGGAGAGAATCCATACGCATATCTCCCAGGCTCCCTCAATGCCGCGCCGCCCACGGGCAGCACGCCAAGAAAATCACGCTCGCAGCACGGCAAAAAAAAAAATCGCAGTCTTCCGTCATCCCTCCTCAAAAGGGCCGCCGCAGCCAAAATCTTGTGCGTGTGCGCGTTCTCATCATTCACGCCGCTCCACAGCGTGTGCATGTGTTTGTGTGTTTGTCAGCGCCTATACTTGCAGAGCAGATGTACGGAACACAAGAGAGCCAAAAAAAGGCAACAACAGAGAAGCGGATAGCACACACGCAAATTACTCATATCATCACACACACATGCAGCCAGCGGAATGGGTGCACTCAAACAAAACACAAGTAAAACAACGAAAAAAACAAAAACAAAAAGCCGAAGCGTGGGACGACCAGCGCACACACTCTCATTGCTCCCGTAAAGCAAAACACACACACAGGGAGAGAGAGAGAGAGGTCGCCCACTCAAAGCAATAAAAACAAACAGTTACGGTGCTCCGCCCATGCAGCCAGGCAGGACGGCAGCGGTGCGTGTGGTGCAAAAGAGAGCACCAACGGGCCTGCATGGGTGTGCATGCATATATACAATGGGCACATTATGTGCGTGCTTCGTGGGGTGAGGTGAGGGCGAGAGTCCATGCAAGGGGACACACACAGAGAGTGAGTGAAGGACTAGTGTGTGTGCGGGCGGTGCACGGCTCTCTCCCTCACTCTCATGCGGCCACCACCGCAGCAGCAGCCGCACAAGCAGCAACAAGAAGAAGCAAAAGAGGGGAGGTGGTGTGGGAGACCGCGGTGCTGCCGTCACTGTCGCCAGTCGTCGCCGTTGTAGTTTTCATGGCCGTGGCCGTCACTGGTGTTTCTTTCGGATTGGATTCTTTATTTTCATTTTGTTTTCCTTCTGCTGTCCCTGCACCATCAGCTGCTGGATCATCGTCTCCAGTTGTTGGTGTGCTGTTGGGATTTGTTTTATTCGATGCTCCCTCCGCACCAGAAGATAAACTTGTCTGCTCTTGACCGCCTGCTGAGATCCCCTCTGTGGTGCCGGTAACAGCTTCTTCTTCTTCTTCCTTTTCATTCGTATCATTCTTTTCCTCTTCCTCTTCCTCTTCCTCTTCCTCTTCTTTGTCTTCGTCTTCTTCTTCTTCGTCTTCCTCCCCTTCTTCGTCTTCCTCCCCTTCTTCCCCTTTATCCTTATCTTCTTTTTGATCCTTTTTTTCAATCGTTTCACTTGCCTTTTCTGATGCTTCTCTACCGGAGTGTGTTTCCTGTAATGAGTTCGCTGGCGCTGCCGGTAATCCTGACGCCGCTGGTGCTTGTTCTTGTGGCGCTGCCGGTTTACTGCTTTGGTCACCTCCTCCAGTGGCACCGACGATCTCTTCGTTTTGAGGTTTCTTTTCGGACGTATTACCCGGAGAATCTGGAGTTGTTTCAGCTCGTTCACCACCGCAGACACCGCACCACAGCACGCAGAGGGCACACACCAGCAGCACACGGCCAGTCATCATCATCGCCATCACTCCAGTCACTTGCGTGCAGCCTTCAGCACAAACTAACAACACGTCAACGCAGAGTGAAAGGAAAAAGAAAGACACGGCACAGTAAAAAACATCAGCAGCAGCAGCACGCATTTCATGAGAAATATTAAACCAATAAAAGTCAGAAAACGCACAACTCTCTGTAATAATTTAACAAGAAAAACACGCAAAACAAGGAAAAATAAAAGAAAAAAATCAGCAACAAGAAAAACAGTAAAACACACACAAAGAAAAAAAAAATGCACCCAAATGGCTTCAGTGTGCATGCACCAGCACACAGCAGGGCAGCGGAAGCAAGCAAAGCAAAAAACAATCATCATAATTACTCTTACTTTATACATCGGACCACAGTGGATGCGCACAAATCCCCGCGGCTGAGTGCTGGCACGCACAGCCCGCATACACCTCTTCAGCCCAAAGTGGTGTACGCCAGCGCGGATACGGCGAGCAGCAGCGGGGCACGCACCCACGCAGAGCTGCTGAAGCTGCCGTCGGTTTCGCGAAGACGTGACGGTGCGCGGGTGGTCGTCGTAGTTGGCGCCTCTGCATTCATGGCCGTATCATTTGGTGCCTCTGGCGCAGTGGTGGTCGTTGTGGTCGTGGCTGGTGCTTTTGTTGTAGTGGTCGTCGTCGTCTCGAAGGTATCCTCAGGCGCCACAATCTTTTTAGAATTATCTTTGTCCCCCGGATCCGTCTCAGTTTTCTTGCTAGGATCAGTGGCTGGTCCAGGGGGCAATGAACTGGCGGTGTTACCCTGTGCCGCACCGGACTCCTGGCTCCGTGAACCTGACTCACCGTTACTCCGAAGTGCTCCCTCTGCTGCAGCGGACGGCGGATTGGTGTCCTTTCCCCTCGCATCAACTTGATTCTCCAAATCCAGACTAGTGTCTTCTTCTGGAGAGGGCAACTGACTTGCTTCGGCAGCATCTTGAGTCTCAGAACTAGTCTCTGGCGTAGTGGATGGCAGGCTGCCGCCGCTTCCACCAGTTACAACTTCAGTCGGGGCAGTGTCTACCACGCACACGGACGGGCAGCAGCACAGGGCAAGCACCAACAGGGCGCACAGCAGACGGCACATCGTCGTCATCGTGAGTGTGGTCGTTCAGTGGTGTGGAGCTGATCTGCACAGTGAGGGACATGGAGAGCAACAGGGGAGACGAGAGGTGCGGCAGACACACACACAGAGGGCACACCACATGAGGAGAGGGCAGCAGCCAGGCATGCACCGTACGCCGCACACCACGCACGACACACACTCCAATCCACGGCAGCAGGCACACGCACACACAAACCTGCACTCTGTAATACTTTTGTTGTACAATTGTGGTGGTTAGTGCATGCGGTCACACACAAAAGGAGTGAGAAAAGAGAAGACCACTACGGCTAGACATCAGACTGCAGGCTACCAGAGGGACGAAAAAGGCAAGAGGGCCGCGCCGCGTCGGCAATCGGTGCGTCACTTGCTTGCAGACCAGGCGTCGTGCGCGATTGATGTCGCTCATTGTGGCGCATACGTCCTCGTAGCCCCAGAGGGTGGAACAGCCAACGCCAACCCAAACACAGCTGTCAACACGCCATTGCCACAATCGCGAAGAGCCGGCTGGCACCACACACGGCAAGAAGGACACACCAAGACACGCCATGCACCAAAGGGACGCATCAAGCCCGCAAACAGTGCGCACCGCTGCAACACCGCAGGGTCCTCCCGCACGCACGCACCGTCCTCCCCCTCCTTATCTGCGGCTCATTGCCGCCACATCCGACACCTGCACCTCACAATACCAGAGGAAAACACAAAACAGCTGGAGCAGCAACAACAACAAATCTGCCACATTGTTGCGCTGACGCCACTGCACGAAAGGGTGCGCCGACGACGGGAGTCCATCGCGCAGGAGACGGAAAAGAGCCCAACGAGACACCCAAGAGCCACACGTTGGCAGCCATGTCGGGGCTGCCCCAATGCAACTACAACAAATAGTGCCGCAACCACGGAGCCATGCACCCTGACCCACAGCGTGTTTTCACAATCAGAACAGCAGGGACAGAAGGAATTAAGACACACCACCCACAGTGCAGCAGAGCACCCGAAACACACACAGCCAATCAAAAACGGATGCAAAAAATCGGGAATGCAAAAAAAAAAAAAAGGGCGCATACAGATTAAAAGCCGAGGCACAGAAATTATTTGAGGTCCACATTCTCGCAATGACGCACACACACACACACAAAAAAAAAAAAAGCAAAGTCACAAAAACAAGCAAAAGTGTAAAAGATAAAGCCGCATGCACCAATTACGGAGGCAGAGGCAGCCGTTCCTGTCCTTCAGAGAAACAGCTACTAGCACGCCCCCGCCTCCATTGGAGCACATTTCCTTTACTTTTTGCTCATGATTAGAGTACGGTGATTTCCCCTCGTCCCAATCGCATCAAAAAACGAGTGTATACATGTGGTGCTGGGAACTGTCTTTTCTCTCCATGTTACTTCGTTCACACACAGTTTTCACGGAAGCTAAACCCTCCTAGCAATAAAACAAAAACACCTTTTCCCAGAATAACAAACAAGGCAATGAAAGACCGGTCATTTTGCCCATCACCCGCAAGCAAAGAAGGAAACGGGGAATGCAGTGAGTGTATCATAGTGTTATTGCTACGGTTTTGCGCATCTTGAGTGCGGGGCCAATGTGCCAAGTAAATACTCTCGCCCTGCCACAGTTTCATTGCGCCCAGCCGCCGCGGCTGCTCAAAGAGGCACCACTACTACCGCCGCAGCGACCACAACAAGAAGCACAAAGGGAATGAGGCCAGCAGTAGCAGCAGCCACACTGCCATCACTGTCGGCCTGCTGTACCAACGCATCGGATATCGCCTGAAAATCGACGCCGTTGACGGACGGAATCGGAGTGGCAGGCACGGAGGCACTGGGAATCACCGCTGGGCAATCCGCCCGCGGGTCGCCCTCCGCTCGTGCAACGTCCTCGCCGGGTGATGGCGCGAAAAAAGCGTCGTGGCCGGAGGCTCTGTTGGCTCCCTCGCTTCCACTGCCAGGTCTCCTCCCTCGCCGCTGAGTGTTGTCCCCACTTTCGGTCCGCACCCCCGGTTCACCCCTCGGACCGGCATGAAGGCCACCACCAACGACACCCGCAGCCGAAGCACCGGGAGGCTCCTTTTCAATGGAGGCACCAGACGCCACAGGAGACAACTGTGGACGAGTATTCTCCGGAGAAGGCGACCCTGAAGCAACCGCAGACTCTTCTGCTTCCTCCTCTTGCTCGTCACCCTGTCCACCCACCAACGCCTCGGAATGACAAGACTGCTGCCGTTGGCGGCAATGGTGCACACCTCGCCGTACCTCGGGCAATTGATCTTTCCTTCTTTCTGAAAATATTTCAACGTCACTGGGATGTCAGTGCCCTCCTCACACGACACCTGCGCGCACACTCCCTTGACGCTTTTATGGCCATTACCGTCCTTCGTCTCCAGTAATTCCGCGTCCAGGCACCACGAGCCACCGCCAGTCAGCGACCCACGGAGATAATCCACATTTTCGTCCGAGCACGTCCTGTACGTTGTCCCAGACGATATTTCGTGAAATTCCAAAGAAACAACGGGGCAAACGTCCTTATCCAGCAGACTCCCCTTGTCTTCAACGATGCTTGCGGTGCACGTCCCAACGTGACGGCGGTCGGAGGTGCAGCGAAGCGTCTCTGTGTCTTTAGCATCGCAAAACATGTGAGGATACTTGGCGGCAAGATTATCGGCTGTATTGCACTTCTTCTCCAGGAAGTCGCAGACACTGCGGTGGCCCAGCTCATCGGCTCCGCCATGCTCCAATTCACGCGGTAGTATCCCATATCCGCGAACACCGCCATCGTCAGAGCCGTGTAGTAGCCGGCACCGACTGTGGGTGCCATCAGCTCGTCCCGCGCGTGGCGTCCCTTCCAGTGAGGGATCGCTTTTTCCCGAGGGCAATCTTCGTCCTCCAGCACCATGCCCTCGAGAGTCACAACCAAAGTGCGCTTTCGCCTTCTCCTGAACGTGCTTCCCCGCCACCATCCTGCGGTGCGTCCCACGCACACTTCTCTCTCGCTTCTTCACCAGACTATTGTCTTCCATACTCTCCTGGCTGAACCAAAGTGCATGCGCAATTTCGTGTGCGGCAACGCGAACGCTCCACGCCGTGTCAGTCATGTACTTTGAATAAAAGTTCATGGCGCCAATGGAAGGACGAAGATCACTCAGTGTGTTACACGTGGCCGCCCACACAGCCCTGCTATCCGTGCCTGATGGCCTAGCAGCAGCGTAGCTGATAAAATCTGCATTCGACACACCGTCACTCTTGTGCCTGGTAGGAACCTTAAAATGGCTGCCCGGTCCATTCATAGCCCTCGGTACAGTTATCGTCCCACCAGTGAGTTTCACAAGGAGTCGCTCAGTGTGCAGTTTGACGGCACCGAAGAGAATCCTTCAATTGTGCAATTGTTTCTTTGCCTCCGTCAGGAAATGCTCTGCTTTGCATGACACCTTGTGCCCCAAGGCGTTGTAGCACTCATCCTCTCCCTCTTCGCAGTACTTCCTCTTGTTCGTGCCTCTCTCCAGATCTTCCATGGGAACCGCCATGCGGATCGGCTCCCGGCCACTGTCGTCATCCTTTGCGGCGACGGTGTACGCCTGCATGGCGCCCTGTCCCTTGCGCGGCACCTCACGCACCACCGCAGTCGACAGCGGGCCGTTCCTCCTCATCATCACGTCAAATCCACAGCGGTACTGTGTGGCGGGTGCAGCAGCAATACACCCACTGGCGCAGCACATCAGCAGCAACACCACCAGTGGGAAAAGCGGTGTGGCGTGGCGTGGCTGGCGCATGACTTGAGTAAAATGCATTTCTTGATTTCGTGTGAGTAGCAGCAGCAGCAGTGGCGCAGCCTGGATGCGGGAGGAGAGAAACAAAGGAAAAAGAAGAGTAAGAAAAACAAAATGGCT